GGGACTTCAGCCTCACTCTGCCCCCCTGCAAGATGGTGGCCATCGTGGGACCGTCCGGAGGAGGTACCGGCCCAACTGCCGGCCCCCCGGCCCTCCCTGCACCCCCAGGGCAGGGGACCCCCTGGCCAGTGCATCCCAGCTGGGAGGGCAGGACCCAGCCCGGCCTCCCCGGGAATGCCAGCTCAGCCCCTCGCCAGTCCCTGGGTGCATCCTCCTGCGCCCCAGTCCTCTGCCCAGTGAGCCCAGTGGACGCCAGGGACTGGGAACCGGCCTCTGTGCCTCCTGCCCGCCCAGCGGCTCTCTGAGAGGCCGGGGCTCGCAGCCAGAGCCGGGGGGCACGGGGGTGCGCGGCCAGGCGGTGCCGTGGGGCTGAGGGCTCCCCTCCGCAGGGAAGTCGACAGTGGCGGCGCTGCTGGAGCGGTTCTACGAGCCCACGCAGGGCACCATCACCCTGGACGGACACAACATCTCCTCCCTGGACCCCTCTTGGCTGCGAGGGCAGGTCATCGGCTTCATCAGCCAGGTTCGGGGCTGCTGTGGGGCGCAGGGCTGCCGTGGGGCGCTTCCCCTAGGCGCTGGATGGGAATCCCCTGGGGCCACGCTGTCCCCACGGGAGGGGAGGGAGGTGGCCCTGTCCAGGGCTCGGTGCTGAGGGGCTGGACGCTGCCCCAGGAGCCAGTGCTCTTTGGAACAACCATCATGGAGAACATCCGTTTCGGGAAGCCGGGAGCCTCCGACGCGGAGGTGTACGCCGCGGCCCAGCTCGCCAATGCCGACGGCTTCATCCGCAGCTTCCCTGAGGGCTACGACACCATCGTGGGTATGTGCCGGGCTCCGGCCGGGCTGTGCGCCACGGAGTGGGGCACGGCGGGGGTGGGAGGCAGGCAGGCATCCCCAAACCGGCTCAGCCACCCCTCGGGACAGAGGGACGAGCACGCCTGGCCAAGGTGGCCCAAGTGCCGCCGGTCACTGCTGGCGCAAGACTGTGCCAGGAGGGAGCAGCAGCTGCGCTGGGCTCCCTGCAGGCAGGACGGTGCTGGCGTTCCTGGGGGTTCCCTGGCTCTGGTGCGGGAGGTGGTGTGGGAACACGGCTGCGCCCCTCCGCTCCCGTCCTCGGGAAGGGGGGCTCTCCCAATCCGGGGGTCTCTCCCCGGGCTGGGGCGGCACCGGCACCCCTATGGTCCCCGTCAGGCGAGCGCGGTGCGGCGCTCTCGGGGGGTCAGAAGCAGCGCATTGCCATCGCCCGGGCTCTGCTGAAGGACCCCGCCATCCTGATCCTGGATGAGGCCACGAGTGCGCTGGACGCCCAGTCGGAGAAGGTGGTGCAGGAGGCGCTGGACCGTGCCGTCTCGGGCCGCACGGTGCTGCTCATCGCCCACCCCCTCCGCACCATCCGGGGGGCCGACC